GGGGCTTCACTTACCAGATCGCCCTGATACAACAGTTCTTCAACGCAGTGGCTTCACTTACCTGATCATCCAAGTGCTAGCGTAACGAAGGAGGCTACAAATAAGGACTTTGAAGCAGATTCGGCACGAGAGATGAGAAAAGATAGCAACGGACCCAGGCTCCATCTTCCCAGCATCCCGAGTGCGGCCATTCAACAAGCTGCAGTCAATGCCTGTGTCCAACAACAAAACAATCTTGGCCAAGAAGAATCAAATGCTCCATCAAAATTTCCTAACGCCGAGAGTGATCGGAGACAAGGAGGTACTGATGCATCTGCAAAAATGAGCCGTTCTCAGACTCGTGCTTGTGCTCGTGCAGGTGAACCAATCACAAAACTCTCTGGACCGCCACCGTCTTTATTCCAACCTCTTGACTCTGACTCGTCACCTGAGGAGGGCAAATCGTCGCAGCGTCGGAAGACTTCGCATTTCACATGGGCGTTCGCAGACCACGTTGATTTTGGTAAACCTGGTCCTGGCAATAAGTACCAAAAACCCAATTCAGCGCAGGACCCAGTACTAGTGGGGGACGATTTGACGGTTGAGAAGACGAATGAGGAAGTCAATAGTCAATCACAGGATGTTGACCGCCCAGTAACAGAAGTTCCATGTGTCATTGACCTCACAAATGGGGATGAGGATGAATTACCAGCGGAGAATGAGAAAGACAATTGGATTGATGAGATTGATGGACAAAATCATTCTGAAGACTTGGGGGACGGCCAGCGTCTTGCTCAAGACTACCAGAGCTTTCTTACTCCTAGGCAAAATAAATTGGCGCCCACGAATAACCCCATTCAACAGATTCCGCCGGTACAGCCTGTTTCACAATACCATCCACAAATTCCAGTCAACGCACAAAGTTTGGCTCCTCAAAATGGAATTCCGCATCAATCCCAACTTCAGGAAGGTTCAGTGGTTGATGCGCCAAGTGGTCACACTTACCCCCCTAATACCAACCATCCGAATTCTGGACGACAATTTTCTCACATTAACGGCAATTTTTCGAGCTCTCCTTCGAATTATTCGTCACCATATGGGCAGGACATCCAACAGACTCCGGAAGTAGAACCTTTTCAATCATCCTACCCTGAACTTAAAAACAATCTACCCTTCTTCAATCCTAATGATGAGTTTCTTCAGTTTCTTGCATTTGAGGAAGATTATGGATTGCAACACCTTCCAATGGATCAAGCAGCTTCACTCCCTCACCATGATCAAGCAGCATCGTTCCCACATCATGGTCACTTGAACCAAACTAATGAAAAACATGACGACGGCTTTAGTGATGGAGAAAGTGATAGCGAGGAGGGAAGCTCGGCTGGTAGAACAGGAAATATTCAGAAAAACGGACGCAATGCAAAAACGAGTCCCCGGAAATATAAACCACGACCACGCGAGACTCGTGCTGAGTATGGCTACCATAGACCATGGATGAGTTACGAAGAATACAAGTATCTCTTCCCTTTGGCTGAGCCACGTTTGTGCTTTGAAAATGCTATTGCACAGCAAATGGAGGAAGACAAGGCATTGATAGCCAAAGGAGAGGCAATCCCTCCAAGAATTCCCATCACAAGACACATCAAGATTTCTCACGAGAGGCTCGATGCACTTAACCAGTAAGTAGAACTGCTGCTCACTTTTCCGAATATTTTGCTGACTGATACTGTCTAGACTACGTCTTTCAAAAGGTGATGAGCCATTCAAGCCGAAGCTTTCAGGCGTGAAAGATCCATTCGCTTTCCTCGATGCAAAAAGAAGACGGATTGAGGAAGAGCAGGAAGGCTTGCCTGGCCACGAGAATCAAGAAATGAGACCAAATGCAAAGCGCCCGAGACTCGCCCCAGCGCCAATCCAAACTGCCGCACCTATGAATGGCAATCCGATGATGGTACAGCAAGATCCTTATGCGATGGAGAAGCGCCAACGTCACTATTTGGCATACCGAGTACCAAAGCTGAGGGAAAAATGCAAAGCTTTGAAACTTAGCACCCTAGGGCTGAAAGGAGTTTTGATACAACGTTTGGTGGACCATGAGGCCAATAGCCGTCCTGCTGTTACAAACAATATTCAGCAAAGCAATCGGGGTCAAAGTGGTTGGGTAGTTCGCCATGATCAGCCAATGCCTGATGTCGGTCCCATAAATGGAATGCATGCCCGTCCCGTTGGTATGAATTATGGTCAACAACAGCATCAAGGTCAGGTTGGACGGGTAGTTCGTCAGGATCAGCCATCGCATTATGCTAATCCAGGGCATGGAATGCGACCATCAACTAACTACCGCCAAAATCCATCAACCATGCTATCCGCTTTACCAACAGAACATCGAGAACCTGACACTGGGCCGATTATTTATGGAAATGGAAATCAGCAACCTTGGAACGGTGGTCATTTTGGATCTTCGAATAATCATTATACACCTCCAGCCCATGGTACTAGCGCTAGACAGCATCATGAATGCTGTCTTCGGTGGATATGGTACTTCCCAGCAGCCAATGAATGGTGGTAGCAACAGATACCCCTCATGGAAGTTTGCAACAACCTTATTCCGCAGGCTATCAAGGAAACACTCGTGTTCGTCCTCAATATTCAGCGCAACGCTTTGCTGGTGGATATATGCCTAGTCTTCCTGAAGGATCAATGCATAACCCGCCTCAAGGAATATACGGCACTAGCATGCGACAACGACCAAGTGACAATGGCAATGGACATGTTAATAGGGCTATGGGTATGACCTCCAACCACATGTCCCGTATGAACTCCAATCAAAACAACATCAATCAAACGATATCAAACTGGTTGGATTCTGATGCCATGAACTGGCAAGCTGATATGCAAATAGATCTAGGTGATATGAACTGGAATGACAGCACTCAACCGTTCTAGCAAAGACCTTCTCATAGTGGCCCTCAATCATCAAGCTAGGATGGAGTTGTTGGGGGATAGTAGAATAGCTGCATGATTTGCTATTCACTCAAACCTGGATAGAAGGGGTTCGCACAAAAATGTTCTTAGATGTTATTCGATTGGGATTGATTTTTGATATGAAGGGTGATGGATGATGAGTTTGAGCTCGATGGGGAATAAGCTTCATAATTTCAGGTCTTATCAATATTTCTTTGGTGCTTAGTTGGTCGGGTGAATGATACCCTAGGGTGTTTATTGGGTTTAGGATTTTGTTGGCAGGTATACCCCGGACTGCATTGGTGTTTGGGTGTCGGATCAGAAGGATTTCTTTTGTCAGGGAATGGATACCAAGTAGATGGGAAATTTCTAGCTTGTAGCAATAGATAACAATGAATAAATATTAAAACCATTTTACATACTTTATTGTGATTTTGTTTTGTGATTCCATTTGTGTGAGTAATCGATGTACTGCTGATGATTTGAGGTAGTGATAATCCTTGAGGGGTAAGTAATGTCGTATGAAGTCGTTATAAATGGTGAAGCCTCTTTTTGTATTATGAACTAATAGTGAGAAAGTGAATTAGTCTATTGATCTGAATAATTATCTGAGTAGGTAATGCACAATGGTAAACCGCTCTCCTCATAATCTCAAAAGTACCACCTTTTATAGAAACTGTCCAAGAACAATTTTTGACATTGGGATTTGTTGAACTTACCTTTTAATTTTGACTTGATGTCAAGGGCATTCCTCGGTTGTCTCCCGTAACTCTTTATGATTCCATACCAATGTACTATGGTAACATAAAATGGAAAAGTACATCTATACTGATCAATGGCAATATAGATATCTTTTGCTTTGTGGGAGCAAAAGAAAACCATCAAATGATTATTGACACCAGCACTGAGAAATCCAAAAGTTAATGAATCACAAAGCTTTAATGCATACCTACTAAAAGCTTAAGAGGGGAGGGGAGAGGGATTGAAGCACCTCTCAATCTCACTTTTATTCAGATTCACGAGTTGCTCCTTAATCATCATGCATTCACCACCATTGTACCTACCACCCTTATAGTTGTGCTTTCCCCAAAGATCAAACTTTTTTGATCTCCAAGTTAATTATTGATTTAAAGCTCCTTAAATACAAGTAAAGTACGGGGCTTAGATGTGTTCTTTGCTGTATCTAAGATTAATTTTTAAACTGAAGGCTTATGTACTGTATCTTTCTTCACATCATTGTCCGAGTGGAGCTTGTAGCGAAGATTTCGCTGCAATTCCAGAAGTCTTGTAGCAAGAGCTTGGTATCATTGGGAAATTGTTCAAATATCAGTTAGACTAATTGGAGTCTGGATGAGGGGGTATAGCCTCATTGTGAAAAGCGGGAAGATTTCATGACACTGAACCGTAATCCAAGGATGGAAATATACCAAAATTAACTAGTCTCATAAAATTGCTTCGAGAAGTTTCTACTTGTTTCTTATGATATAATGTTAAATTTTATAAGTTGGTCTCTTTTACTTTGAAACGTTTTGGTTTCTCATAACACTCCATTCTTTCTCAGAACCCTTCTTAATCCAACCCATCTATTCTAGGCAACTCACCGAGGAGACGATCATCTTCCACATCTTCCGCTCGACTTATCCATCATCTACTACCCTGCAGTGCTCTACAGCATCTAATTCATACAATCATACCATAGATCAATGAGTTCCACATACTGCTCGATGATCTGCTATTCCGCACGCAGAAACGGGATCTGTAATTTTAGGGCAGCCGAAGCTATAGCTATAGCTATAGCTAATGAACATTTTATGAAAGCTATATCTTCCAATTATATCTAATTTAAACAACCAATGACTAGTAAGTTGGTTGTTACAACAACGCAAAAAACAATAACATCAGATATGAATCAAAAATACCCAAAACAAACGCATACCATAGACTACAAGAATGGCAGATATAATGCTTCTACGGCAACAGATCTCCTTCATCCCTCTCCACCCCAGCCCCCCCCCCCCCCCCCCCCCCCCCAAAAAATCCAAAATGTTTTTTTATACAGCGAGGGGTGAGATAAAAGAAACGGGAAATAAAACCAAAACTTGCCCCCCGCAACCAACCAACGGGAAGTACTTTCGAGCTGAAGTCATATTTGCTGTGTTTTCTCCGGCTCCAATCATTAATATCCACCTTACTTCACCATCTTCTTGCCCGTGTCTAAACACTGTATCAAAAGTTGAAGATATGGGGCGGTTGCTTTTTCACCTAGCCTGGTCTAAAAATAAGTACCCTAGTGGATAAAAACGAAATAAATTATAACTTTGTCTCTGTGTGGTTATGTATGAGTATTAAAGAGAGTGTATAAGATTTCCGCTGATGTTGAGGGGAAGTTTATTGGAGGTAGTTATAGTTGAGGTATAAGAAGGAAAGGAGGGAAACAATATCTTCACATATCTTTTCTGCTCAACCTTCCTCCATACTTCCAACAAGGTCCTAAAATTCTTGTCTTGGAGAAAATACTTCTACTGTATGTCCTGCGATGAACAAGTGACGAAGTATTCACACCATTTGGCTAATAGGAACTATCTATTATCCACCACAGACTACGAATATTCGCACCTCATTATACTGACACTCTAAGTCTCACACTCGTGAACTATTCTGTCCCCGAACTATTAGGGAAATTATTTTCGCGGAATGCAAAATAGTGAAGAAGAACAATAACAGCAATAGTAAACAATATTGACATGCAGAGAACTCGAAAATGAACAAGAAAACCCGAACAAAAGCTATTCGACCTTCCCACATAAGAAGTCCGAGGAATCGACTACAAAACCCACCGGTAGCGTTCGTGCGGTCGCATGATTATAAGAGACAGACCCTTGGTTTCATAATTTCGCTTTCGAGATGACTTTGAGCTCTCAAAAGATCTGGAGAGTCCCCTTCACTTTCATCTCTACAGACTGTCACTTAACTGTCGAGCAAGTGAAAGATTCACTTTTCATTCCACTGACATTTTTTTGCCTCCTCCCTGGTCAGCTTATTCACTAGCGTGCATATATAATATGCTGAGCTGATACTAAACGAGTGAAAGTACTCCATAGGAAGCAAAAAACATTGCTAACCCCGCGCTCTCCGCTCTCCACAGTTTCTCAAAAAGCTCCGTCTTATAAGTAATTCTCAACTACCTAGGTAGGTATACAAACCTGGCATCGGCTTATACTTTTCGAGGTCTATAAACTAGGTGTTATATTACGAGATAACACAACCCACCCCATACTCCATCTTTCACCAATGCACTTCCTAATTTCACATCCTGTTCATACCTTCCCCCAAATAATCAAAGATAGCCAAATGACCTATCATCCGATCAACAAGTAACTAGCTAATCTTCCCATCCCAATCTCAGCCATCAATCAGCTCATCATGACTCATGTGCATAAAAAATATGTAAGCAGCCACTAACCTCCGCATTAGAACACCACGCTACAACCAAAAGCGCCTTCAGTAAAGATCTTCTTTGGAATGAAACGGGACAATCAATCAAAAGAATAGATAGATAACACTAGTCTGAATACGACGTTGAGAATTATTCAGCACCGTTAATAGACAGCAGCTGATATACGCACGCGCCAGCTATTCATTCTTTCCCTTTTCTATCTTCAACGTTTCAAAGTAATATATCATAATAAATGAAATAGAGTGTAAAGCATATCTCTATCTCTATCTATCTATTGAATGAATGAAAAACCCCTGACAAACGGGCATCGGGACCCCGCATAAATTGAAAACCACCACGCACAAATCCGAACGCGTCAATAATATTAAATCCCAAACTTCTGGTAAGGTTAAATGAAACATGTACAGTGCAGAAATAAGCATAAACAAGCATAAGTATAAACAAGCATACATACCAACACGTGAACCAAACCAAAGAAAGATATGAAATGAACCAACCAAGCGCATGCACATGGAAATACACATGGAATTACAAATATATCGTATATAGAAAACGAACCAAACGAATTCAACAAATCAACAGACATAATAACACTGACTGATTGACTTGCTTTGTGCGAGGAGAAGCTGCAAAATGGCATATCGCGTAAGCTTAATGCAAACTAACTTCGAATTTCGAATTTCATCCCCTTGCCCCTTCCTAGTGTGAATCATTACGTGAAATATGCGATGGATGCGTGGGCCGGGTGCGGCACAGTAGGTAGGTAAGCTTAAGGTAAGGAAGGTAAGGTAAGGTGATGAATGGATGATAGCGTGGTGGACATGGTATGGTACCTGCGGAGTATGGTATAGTGTTTCACTAGCTCGATGCATGCGTGATTGAAGGAAGGAAGGAGAAGACGCGTGAGAGGTTACCGACTGGCTGGTTCGCTTGCTTGCTTGTTTCGCTTCTGTCTGTTCTGTTTGTAGAATTAATAAAGGAAGTTTTCCTAGGTATGTACCTAAGCTAGCTGAAAAATTGGTTTTGTTTTACTCTGTAGAGGTTTTTATTGGTTTGGGTTTGGTGATGTGGGATTTCGAATCTAGAAGTAATTTCCTACCGATTATGTGCTACGAGTATACGTGTACATGGTGAATGTGAAATATATTAGTCAGCTAGAATCATCCCACTTGTTCGACTTGTTTGACTCCGCAAATTCCCGTCCCCATATTCATTCCCCAGGTTTTCGACATTTAAACCCTAATCTCGAACACTTACTTACCTTAGTATTTCCTCTTCTCCCGACCTACCTACCTATATAATTAAAACAATCTCACAACATAATAATTACCATATCGTATATCCGTACAACACAACACAACACAACCACCCAACGCCCAACCAATCACCTGATCAAACACTCATGCAGAAAACCAAGACATTTCCTTTCATTTCACCCGTAAAATCGGAATCGGAAATCGGAGCTGAAACTAACTAGTCTATGTACAGAGCATGCATTTGGTGCTGTACTGCGCGACTTCTTGGCACCCCAGAATTTATATATCTTGCTGGGACTCATGTAATTCATGTAATTCATGTAATTTCATGTAACAGATATATACTTACTAGGTATGTGACAATAATAGCAAGATCCCCATGAAATGATTACGGACTTGTACGAGTCTTGGCACGGCTTTCGGGCTTGTGTAACCTCCTAGCCTACGTAGCCCAATTCTATGCGTGTAACCTAAGCGAACCGAAGCATTTTCTCTCTGGAGTCTAGAGTCTAGATACCTAGAGATAGATAGATAGATGTGTGTAACATTTGATACCTAGATAGATGTCATTGGTGCATGGCATGCATGTGAAAAAGTATAAAATATCTACCTACCTACCTACCTACCTACCTACCTAGGTAACCTTATCTTTCAGTACCTATTATAACTTATTTTCTAGGTATACATACATATATGCACATCACATACACAACATCACATCCCATCTTTATACTTTACCTATCTACATATATACATACCTATACGCGCAGTAGCCAACTAGCTAGCGGCTGCAACGATTGATTCAAAACGTGGCAGTCAGTCTAATATCTATCTGACTGATATTTAAATACCTACCTAGTATATACATAGCAAGCTTTATTATTAATCCATTAAAAATATCTATTATTCTATCCAAGAACTTTAAAGCGCTCTCGTTTAGAAAATCAGCTGATTCTTTATTTTCTATTTCAAAAGAATCATTAATGATGGTTTTGATTTGAGATTTCTACGAACGAATTCCCTCGAATAGCTCGAATCTCCGTAGTTCAAATATTTGACTTTTATTTATTTATTCATTCATTCATTATAATTAACCTTAATATTTTAAAGAATCTTCCGCATTTCGTTATCGAATAAGGTTACATATAACAAATACTCTAGATGTGGGTATCACCAGTACCTAAATTAAGTAATCGTTAAGTTTAACGTTATGCGAGTATGTTGTAAGGATAAGGGGGGAAGGGTGAAAGAGGGGCGAAGGAGTGATTAAAGTCAGAGTATGGCTGCGATTATGGGTGGACTTTTGGACTTTTGATGTATATTCCGGATGGTATGTGTGTATGTTTGTATGTGTGTGCACTGTGCAGGGAGGAAGTTGGAGGTTTGGAGTGGAGTGGATGGAATATTTGATATTTGGCGGCAAAATGGAGAATTGAACGAACGGGTGGGATGTGGGATGGAGAACATGGTTACACAGGATTTAAGTTATTTATTTATGGTTTGATGGAGATTCATGGAGATTTTTGAAATATTTATAATTACAATGCGAAAGTAGTGAATTATACGACGACTAAGTTAGAGTTAACGATATCTGATACCTCGAGAATAGAAATACAAATGAAGGGATTTACACCATTCAACTACATCCAACTCCATTCGCCAATTCCCAGTTGATTATCAAGAACTGTTAGACATCAAAATCTCCATATCAACATCGACACCCATCGCTCTCATCTATCAACATTTAATTCCCGAATTTCACCCCCAAAAATCGTTCAATCAAGCGTGGATGTCTCATCACCTCATTCGGCATTCGGTGCTCACAAACATTCCCATCCGCATTCGCTTGTTACTTCCTCATCCGAGTCCTCATTACAAGTTTAGCAAGCTCTTACCAAGCAAGTAACCTAATCTAGACTCTTTCTCCACGGCTCCAAAAAACTGTCATATATGAATATACGTAGCCGCAGGGTATTTTGAAGATCAAGGCTTAAATGAACAATGTCAAGATCGACATTTTCGACTACACGCCACAAGACATCAAGAACCCTTGGCCGATGAATTTTCACCTTGCGTTGGTACAATAATGCGCCACCTTCGGTGAAATATTTAGGGCCCGCGTGAAGCGGGAGGTGAAGTCGTGATCTGCTCGTTTGGAGATTCTGTGGAGCATGGAGGGGAGACAAACGGACAATCAAACAAGCATTAACCATCGAATATTCGTCAAATGAGGTTATTGCTAGGATATGCGAGCGAGGAGATTTGATAGTAGGCTCTTGGTGGGTTGACAGGTGGACATGTGGAGATCTAGGAAGATCATGGGCTACGTATACGCGGTGCACGCGTGAGAATGAGGTTTTGACTCTTGAGAGTCTCGCGGATAGAGAATTCGAGGAGCAAGCATGATCCCTTGAATATTCGCAATGCAAGGTCTTTTGGGGTAAGTAAGCTCAGCAAGATTCAAGAAACCTTCAGTAGTCAGTGGAGTGGGAGTTTGGTGGAAGTCTGGTACCTGGAGGAAGTTTTTGTAGGTCTAGTGTTCGTACGTTTCGGCTGAATGTTCTAGGGAGGAGATTTCGAGGGGAAAATCGAAGTGCTGGTTGAAGTAAGAGACGAAAGAATTTATCAAAATTTTTACAAGGGAAAGGATTTTGAAGTATACGAATTTCAAGCTAGTAGCCGGATGAAAGCTTCAGAGGAAGGGGTTGGACTCAAAGGTCCTGGTTTTTAAGGCGGAATTCCAGGATTCCAGAGGAAGAGGAAGACGGAAAAATGTGGGGGGAACAAGGACATCGTTTTGATATGCGCGCGTAAGCTCGCGGCTTGAGGGTTGTGGTCTCGATTTGAGAATCTAGTCGATGAAGGAGGACGACAGACCTAAATGAAGAGTACGGCCTTTGGTATGAATACCTAGGTACTGCTGTAGTGAACTGTAACATTTTTTACTACTCCGTACATTCCTCGAATGTAGCGGTGAACAAATCCCCTTCACGAATTCATCGAAATTTTCATATTTCACATAAGAGACGGAGATCCTCCAAAATTCGTATTTCATGTACCCCTCTCGCAAACGAATATTCTAGTCAGGGCCAACATGCATAGTATGTGGATAAACAATTAATATAACCTATGGAGACCTTTAGATTTTAGTGCGCGCGTCAATAAATAATGGATCCATAAATGTTGGTGATGAACAAGTGCAATTGATGACTAACCTCCGTAGTTGATGAAGAATACCCCTGAAAGGAACGCTAAGGATCCGGTGATCGGAGACCCTGAAAATGCGCTTATGCAGGTAGGTATGTATGGAGTTTGTTGTTAGGTTACTCTTATGATGATTGTCTGCTTTGGCTTAATATGTTAATACACTGATTAATTAGGAAATAGGGAGTTGAATAGGGCAGATGTTAAGTTTTGCTAGATTACTCCGTATTATTGATATTGATATAAATGAAGAGGGGGAGGGAGATGCAATGATCATGATGAAATTAGGAATTGTTTTGGTACGCAATATAAGATAGATAGTAAGATCTTAGATCTCATCGTACCCGGCCTCATTCAGAGAAATGCAAAGATGAGACTTTCTCTCACAAAGCCGAACCAAAGATTGAAAATTTCTGGATTCCTTTCACAGATTTCTCTTTCGTGATGAGGTTGGGAGGGAATTGCGAAAGGAAAATCAAAAACATATTTGAATGGTTATGTATCACATTTATTAGTGGAGAAAGAAACCGGTATTTGGTCCGTGGTATCGGGTTTTTACTAGAATGAATCGTTATGATACGATATGTTGATGGGAACCGGTGAACGGTCAATATAGTCTCTCCTTCTCCTCGTTGTGAGAAGAATTCGGATCAAAGGGTCTTTCTTGTAAAGGGTCGTACCGCATTGAACTGGCGGTGGAAGATTTGGAAGAAGTTTTGATTGCTTTGATAACTTTGAATCAGATGATTTGAGAGGCAAATACCTTATAGTTGGTTGGTTGGTCGGCTCCTTCATCTTGAGGCCGTGATAATCTGATGGGTTTGGGTTTGAGTTGACACCAAAGTTACACAAATATGCAATGGGAACTGCATTTTTAGTTTCGTAATGAATTTACTATTCTTTTGTACACATCGTGGAATATATTTGTACATATTTGTTTTATACATCTGAGATTGTGTAACGAGTGTTGTTGGCAATTCACAAAACATAGCTTGATATCATATTCCAATCCAGAATCTTCATCTTCTGCAATTTCAAGCATCAGGCTTTTGTAAAATATGATCAAAAGGTAATGAAGTTATACAACATATCAAAAGCATTGATAGCAGGGTTAATATGCGGGACGGGATGTGGATCATATCCTTAGCATACGATATGGATTAAACAAACGGAATCTATGAGGTGGTTGAGTCGCTCCCTGGGAAAGAAAGGGCTTGATGAAAGATCCAATAAGGAGAATCTGCAATGGCTAAAAGCAAACAGATAAAATAAGATGTGGGATTGCTGTCTTATAGAGATTGTTAACGAAAATGATGAAGAAGAAACATCTGAGTTGAAGATATTCTATAAAATTGATAGAACAATAAAGTAAATATAAATTTGATATTCTTCAATATTTTAGCATCATAGTCATTATATCAGTAGTCATTAATACCGTTCGTTGACCATGTTATTGCTCGTACCTGTGCCTACCCCTAGTCCTCCCATCGATATAACGCCTCGTCTAGTATCTAGTACCTATATATCTACTCCGTACAGTAGAATAATCCTAGAATGTCTCCTAGGTAGCTTCCAACTCAGTGTTCACATGTAATTTCTCATCCCCTGTTAAATTTCCTAAATTCTCCTTTTTTTTAATCACGACTAATTGGGTTATCTATTGCGGAGACGAAATACTTTATAAGGAGTAGTCGTCTTGTATATAAAATAACAGCGAGAGAATCGATCAAATTTTAACTTAATTTGGCCTGACATATTTTACCCGCAAAAACTAAAATGAGATTGGATTAGGAAGGTTTCCTTCTCCCCTTGTCCCAGGAACATTTTGGATTTTTGGATTTGGAGTGGAGTAAATTGGCATGAGTGGGTGGATACACAAAGTGGAGAAGATTAAGAGGCTTCGAGTTCCCTTGGCAGCGAATTGAGTTGGATTTTGAGTGCATGAAGTCTCTAAACTCTGGTACAGACAGATACCAAGACGAACTCACAATCAACCAAGGCTACACGAGGAACAGCGCTCGCTCATCGAAAGGCTGCCTTTTCTTCTTCTAGATATATGTCATCAATTGCACCCACCATTCAAAGGAAAAAGAATCTATTCATAAATCTCTTTTGAAAGGGAAACGAAGAAGGCTTATCGCGCATCGCACGTCGCACATCTCACATCACACTTCACATCACACCCTCTCTCATAATTCATGCACGACTGCAACTAGAAATTCATCTCACGATCCACTTCGTTCTGGATTTCAATTCCGTCATTCTAGCCTGTCTATCTACCTGTCAATCGGTCTACCTCCGTACACTTCTTTTCGACTAGATTATATGTGAACGATTCGATCTTTCAAACCAAAAGAAGGGATTTATTAGAACCAAAAGAAAAAGAAAGAGAGGGAAGGATAGAGAGAAGAAATCAATACAATCATAATTTATCATTTACCTACCTACGTTTTCAAGGATTCACTCGACACATCTACCCGGGACACTTTCAATATTCTCCATTCCAATTCCAATTCCAGTTCGAATTCAAATTTTCATTCTTCCTTCTCAGTACGACACAACACCGGGACTTTTCGATAAGAGATCCTAAAACTTTATGCGAATCAATACTACGAAACCCAACATAATCAGAGACGGGTACTACAGAACCACAACCTTCGACTTGATTTCGAATTTCTAATCCTTCTCTACCACGAGGAATAATACAACCTCAATTTCGATAATTCTTCAAAGATCTTCTACAATAACATGTTTTAATACGACTTTAATAATAATTCCTCAGATTTTGCCTTGACTTTTGTCGCATTCGGCCATTCCTCCTAGATTCTACTCCTAGTTACATTGAACTCTTCGAAACTACCTATCTCATCCAAATATGACCTTGATGGAAGGATTAATGTTGGTACCACCCGAAAGGGGTACAATTATTGGAAGAGCAGTATGGAAGGTAAACATATTTTCTAAAGCATTCATCTGCCATTTTATTCCGATTGTTTGTCTGACAAAATTTTCTTCATTCCAATAGCCTCGATATGTTGTCCTTGGTTCCGGAGCACATCTACAAACACAAACCGAACTCCTCGAAAAAGCAAATTCAAAGAAGGGAAAAACAATCAAATCTGCATCTACAAAACCAAGCTTGGTGGATTTGGGAAAGGGATCAGAAGGATTATTCATTTCAATCTACAAGGCAAAGGTATAGTTTTAGATTTGTTCCCTTTTTCATCTGCCTATACGTGCAAACTCCCAATCCCTCATAGCTCGCCGCATTCGCAATTTTGGAAGATATCAAAAGCACTCTTGTAATGTGTCCTCGCGGCAGTGGATTCTCAAGGCTAGCAGAGCGACAACCAATGAGAAAATGAGGGGTACAAAGGTTCTAACTTGACTATCAATAGGGCGACTGGGAATACATTGCGCAGTACCCAATATCTTCTTTTAAATCCTGCGAAATTCGTGCATTAACACATCGAAAACAAGCCACACCATTGCCCACGCTTGTGTTGGAATTCAAACCAGATTCGATATCAGAAAAGCAACGAAAAAGAAGATCAAGTCGAACAGGGGGATTAACTTCAAACAAGGATTCACAATGGCTGGATACACTTCTATTTCGATCAGTTCCTGAGGATCGCAATAATATTTACGATTGGCAGATTACTATCAAACCAAGATTGCAAATTGATGATAATGAAGAAAGTCCAATGAGTCCTTTAAGTCCAATATTCACATCTTTCACCAATCCATTTTCACCAAGAGATCCAAGACCTTCATCTCGAAATGGTAGACAAGATCAACAAGCTCGACCACTTTTCCAATCCTCGGGACCATGCGCTCAAACCTCAAGAGATCGTCCCACAGCATTAATATCTCCTTCTCCCAGTCTTCGTTCCCATCGCTCGGACATTTCTTCTCAAGCAAGTTCATCTCATCCATTAACGGGTTTCACATCAGCTCATCCACAGCCCATCAATACAAATTTGCCAACGGATCTACCCTCACCTGTTTCTGTTTCTGGTTATGATAATTTTATCGAAGGATGGACCACGGCGCAAGGAAGATCATCGGCATTATCTCATCACACTAGAGGAAGTAATAGCATTGCTTCCGCTATTGCACCTCCAATTACCTCACCTATCACAACATCACCTGGACCAAGAGAAACAATTTTGGATAGAGCATTTCAAATGAGATGTATACCTGGAAGTGAAAGATTGAAGGATGAAGAGGAGAAAGTTAGTAGTATTGCTCGATTTGAAGCATTAATGAGAGAACAAGATGAGAGGTTATTACAAAAATCAGCGACTGATAGGGATGGAAAGACATAGACCTGGTTGGGAACTCGAAGAAGAATCTGAGGAATCTGATAATGAGGACCCTGGTAATGTTTTAGAACAATTGGATAGACATGATATACTTATGCCTACTCCTGCACAACGAGCATTGGATTATATAGCTGGTCGACAAACTCCTTTGCCTAGGGCGAGTAGCTCTAGCTCAAGGCCTATGTCACCTCATAGTCCACCAGTTCCTTTTCTAAATCGAGATGCTATGAATGCTCTTCATAGTGGTTCAAGTTCAACCAACCAAAGTTTCTGTTCGATTGGAAATTCTCTTCGCCCACGTACTGGAACAACCTCGTCACATATGCGAAAAAATAGCCGACCGTCGTCTTTCGCATTACCATCAAGATCTATTTCTACAAACGCCGTACCGTCTTCAAATGATAGTGGAAGTGGAAGTTCTGGTTTGGCCCCTAGCAAAGCTGAAAAGGATAAGAGAAGGAGTAGTACATCTACAAAACGACTTTCTTTTCAGGAATTTGCAAGGAGATTAAGTTCAACTAGTTCACTTCTTTTGGTTCAAACAAATGCTAGTTCGAATTCTGGAAGAGGTGATAGTTTCAGGGAAAGAGATGATTCTAGCCGAGAAAGCGTTAGTGATTATGGTCTGGAAA